GGTTGAGCAACACCGCTCCAAGGATGCGCTCGCCATCCTCGACGACTTGGAGCCGTCTTTCCCTTGCAGCTCCTACGTCCTGTCGCAGACGGCGGTCGCCCACTACCACCTGAGGAGTGAGGCGAACAACGGTCATGCACGTACTGTAGTTTTTGTCCCGCTGCATCAGTTCAGTGCTTGTAACTCTGCCCTCGCGTTTTGCATGAGTCGCGGTGCGGTGTGAATGGTAGCCGATCAAATTACTAGTGTGTTACAGAATTTCTTTGGTCGGCTTGTGCTATTGTCGGGTTGGGCCATAGGGCGTTGTATCGGTTGGGGTAGTTTCCGTGCTGGTCCCCCCTCTTGCTCTGTGGCTGGGCAACTCCATAGAGAGGAGATCTGCTTGGTGTCCATGCTGTTGCAGCAAAGGTGAAGCGTCGCCTCCCTTACCTGGACTAGGAAGATGATTCACCCAGGAACCGTGAATATTATCCACCTTTGAGGGTTTACGTTAAGGCAGCCCTTACCCTGGTGCTGCGCTTGGCGGGCGAATAGCATTGTCTGTCTCGTGTATCCACGGGCAAACCCCGGCAAAAAGGGGAGTCGAATGATTTCGTGTGTTGGCGAGACACTTGCACCCCTCAGAATGCGTGTTGCACCCGTGAGCTGTACTCTTATCTCCGTACGCCTCCCTTTACAGCTCGACAAGCGGCACGCTGGCTGTTTGTGGGTCAATCATGCTGATGGTCTGGCTTCTGCCATGATGATTGCGTGTTGTGTTTGGACGTCGACGTCCTTATTGCATGCCTCGGTGTTGTTTTCGATTACATGCCAGATTTCGACCAGGGCCACGATGACTTCAAGGAGCTTCGAAGGCGGGATCCCCTGCGGATGGAGGGACTCGACGTGTTTTCCAATATCCTGTGAGTGTTGCTCGCCAGCAACGGGTCCAACGGTCCTATGATCTCTGACAAGCCTCGACCATTGAATTGAGGGTCCCGACGACCCGTTTCCACCCCTTTTTGTTCTCGCATGCATGTTTTGCAATCGTCACCCCTAGGCTTGGCTCTCTCGGTTGTTTTCGTAAGTATATTCGCGGGCGGCGGCTTGGTGGCACGATATTGCGCCAGATACCCACCCCTGCACTTGTAGCCCGTCTGGGGCGTGTTGGAGCAGTTTCTCTTACATGTACAGGGTTCTCATCTTCTTTCGTTCGCTGACTGCTGCTGTTTTTTTATGTTGGCTTCCCGTCATGCTTCGTTGGGTCCATGTATTTCGATTGGCGCTGATTGTGTGCAGTCTTGCTTTTGTTCTGAACACTCGTGTGTGCCTGGTTTGACCACTCCAGGTACGTGAAAGAGTGCAAGGCAGAGCTGTCCTTCCTCGCCCACACCACCAACAAAAGCGCGCCGCTACGTCCAGAGACGAACTGCATCATAGGTGAGCCTAAGCAACGTGTTGTGACTGCGGTTGCCTAAGCAACGTGTTGTGACTGCGGTTGCCTAAGCAACGTGTTGTGACTTGCGGTTGCCAATGACGCAATGATGGCTTGGCGTCGTTGCGTAGACGAAAAAGCGGGGGAACAAGTTGAAACTCTCACGGGTTTTCCTGCCCTCCTCCAAGGTGTCAACCTCGTCCTTGATGGGTGTGTTGCGCTACGCGACTCTCAAGGCTGAAGCCCTCTAACCACGCCAGTTCCTAACAACGATGCTGGCCTTTTTTGCCGGGGACAATGCGAGGTCGTTTCCCCCAACGCACCTACTGTACTCACAAGAAAACACGCTCTGGTTGCAACATTTTTGGCTTGTAAAAAAACTGGACCGCGTGATTTGCTTGGTCTGTGTGGTTTCTTTCGTCGCCCGTACGCGTTGGGTTCATTTTATTATATGAATTGCCACCAGGTGTGGTGTTGTATTGTGTGTGCGGCGGGAGGGCTGCCTTGTGTGGGTGTGTTATCTTGTGCGGTGTGCGGTACTTGTTGCACAAGTCGTGTGGGTACGAACCAGGAAGTGCTACGTATATATGCCTCTGCCGGCGTGGCACGAACAGGCGGCCAATGACCCTTTCCTCCCCCAAGACTTTTAGGAGTGATCTCGACGCTCGCACATGAAATCTACACGATGTTACTCTGTGTCTCTGTTCGTTTGCCGGAAACCAAGGGAACTACTACAGTCTCAAGGGGCAACACGAGAAGGCGGTGACGTATTTCCTCAAGGCTCTCCGACTGGACCGACGATGCCTTTCGGCCTGGACGCTCATGGGGCACGAGTTCATAGAGCTCAAGAACTCTGGGGCTGCCGTCGAATCCTACCGTCAGGCCGTAGGTGAGCTGCTGTTGTCGTCGTCATCACCGTCGTGGTTGTTTGTGTGTTGGCCATGAAGTTCCCCAGGGCGGTTGTTGTTGCTGCTCTAAGAAGCCCTCTATTTCTGTTACCGCTATGCACGGTGTGGGGAGTGTGATGAGCGATTCTCTGTGTTAGCCTCTTCCACGGGGAAGGCACCAAGATTCTTGAGACACTGAGTGCCTCCCTAGATATTGTGTTCCCTTGTAAACCCCCCATGTCGTTGCCGAATTCATCACTTTGCTTGATTTGTTTGTTTTCTTCGTCTTCAGACATCAACCCAAAGGACTACCGGGCATGGTACGGCCTAGGGCAGGCGTACGAGATCCTCCACATGCACCTCTACGCTATCTACTACTACAAAAGGGCTACGGCACTCAGGTGTGCTCGTCGTCATCGTCATCGTCTTCGTCTTCATGGGTCGTT